GTATGCCAGGCTTTCATGGGCAGTATATGTTTGTGCTGGTGTTTGGGTAATGTCCACAACACCTGTTGGGAATGTCCAACACTGACCAGTCTACAGTAATCCAAGGCCAAAGTGTGTTGCAGTGCCCCAAATGTTACTTAACCACTTTGATCCTATCTCCCATTTCACGGTCACCACACACGACAAACACGTGGATGGATATTTGGATCTCGGGAGGAGGTAAACTGTACAGACAGAACCTTTCCTGCAACATCCCCTTATCATGTACAGGGATCCACATCGAGAGGCTGTTAAAATATTTAATATAAGGATATTGTTGTGACATGTACTACCTATGGATGATTTCTTTTGAATTCTTTGATAAAAATAGTCAAAGCCAATCCACATACCGAAGAAACAAATTAACTTATCACTAACATTTTCTACAGGTAACGTTCATTTATAAGTAGCTTCACAAACAACGTTTCAACAGAAACAGATATTAATTTATGCCTAACTCATAAATAAACATACTTACATATTTTCTCTGTTATCGATCCATTATCAAACACGATAAATACCTCACCGACTAACTGAATCTCATACAAATAGATGCAATGACTCGTAGTGAAGACCCTAGCAAATACTAAACTGATAAACACATTGAATGATTAATCCTGAATGCATGACTAATTACCGATTCACTCACCCTTGGAACTTAATATTCTCGTTTTGTACCATATCTCTTATTTAAGGTAAGATAATTTGCATAACTACAGGTATATTTGCAAGTGAAACAGTTTTTCCTTATAACAACAAGAGTTTCTATCAGGACATTTATTAAAGTAATTTTTAATTTTCTGAATAACTGAGTTCATGACAAAGGAAAAAAACTGAACACAATTGTACACATACAAAGACCATTCTTTGTTGTACACAAACACTGTACTTGCTTCATACGACAGATTATTGCTACAGAATAACTAAAATGTGCATTATTTAAATTAAATGATGTCCACTTTCTACCTTATTTTCTAATGGAAATGACCAGTCATGTGGGTAACGCTAGTTATTCCGCGTAAGTCTGACATCTCTAACGGTAGGTCAGGTGATGTCTCAAGAATACAAAGTGTAGCCTTACAGCTACCCCCCTTACTTGGTTGGAGTTTTTTGGCGTTGTAAATTCATTCAGATGACAACCATCCTTACTTTATCATGAGGAACTTATGTATTTGATAGCATCTTATCTACTTACTTTTATAAAACATTCATTCAAAAAAATAAAATTCAATATATTTGGTGCACACAACTATTATTTGTCCTTGTATTTCCATAGGTTAAATTAAAGAAAGTGAATCAAATGAATATTGAAATATGAAAATGACAGAAGTATCGTGCATACAAGTAATTCTTTATACTTTCCGACACAGAATTAGTAAAAAGTTCAAAGCTTAGTTTTAGGGCACCTTCAATTAGCGCGAAAATTGGTAGAGACTTCTGTAAATATATACTATTTACAATATTATCCAAAAGAGGGCAGCACACTACAGGGTGATAATCATTAAGTGAAGGAGAATAATAGATTCTTGCTGGATAATTCATATTTAATCACTTTTAATTTGCACAATTTTTCAAATCATGTAGAAATTTAACAAGTTAATTTTTGAACAATGGCCTCTGACAGTATGGATTAAAAATGAAAATTAAGCATTAGAGAGATTTTTTGAGTTTTAAAAATGATTTTTTTTCAACCACTTTGTAATCGTTTTTCTACCAGTACTAATTGACACATTTATATTAAATTTCTCATTTAAACCAATATATCTAAAACTTTAAAGTTACCAAAATCTCTCTACAATTTCTTTTCAAAATACCTGATGATTAAAAACAAAGTTTTAACCCCCTCTACAACTCACTCGCCAATACAACAATCGTATAATTTCAAGCGACATTTTACCCAACATACTCGTATACTTGTTTGTTTTTGTTCGTTTGTTAATTTCGCACAAAGCTACACGAGGGCTATCTGCGCTAACTGTCCCTAACTTAATAACTCTTGGGCTACTCTTTTACCAAAGAATGGTGGGATTGACTGTCCCATTATAACGCCCCCACGGCTGAAAGGGGCGAACATGTTTGGTGTGACGGGGATTCGAACCCGCGACTCTCAGATTGCGAGTCGATCGCCCTAACCATGCTGGGCTACCCATGTAGTTGCCAAACCGTGTATAGATGCTGTTATAGAGTAATCGTCAGTTCTTTGACCTATATGAATGTTTTTTGTTTGTTTTTTTAGGGTGGGGGGGGGTGTTGTAGCACCGATTTTCTTCTTTATCCAATCGGTTCTGGTTTATGAAGAAAAACAATATTCCTAACTGGTAATATAACACTAATTATTACTAGGTCCCAAGCAACCTGAAAACAACGGTTAGAAGAAAAAGAAAACGCTATAAAAAGTCAAAAGAAAATAAATTAAAATATAATGCCCCCCCCCCCCGAAAAAAAAGGTGAAAAGTTAAATAGTCTCCTGAAAATATTTTAACACTCGGATGTTAAAGAGAGCTTGTTTTGGCGATTTTATTTTCGAAACGCACAAAAAACAAAAACAGATATACAGAGGTTAAACAAGTTGTATTAAAACTATTTTGAAACCCCACAATGTTTTTACACCCCCAATTATTCTTTACTTGACGGCCGTGTACCCTGACAATAGCCCTGCGGCGTAATTTCAATACAAATAAAAGGCTCTGTCGTAAGGCTGTCCTATCATGTCCAAAGCATACACCTTCTCCCCGTTTGCTTTCATAATCTACTGTAAGATGACGAGAGTTTACCTGTAACCGTTTCAAGATGCGACATGTCTTCGTCTGGAAGAGCATCAATAGTAGTTTCATCCTCCAGCTAGTTATAACAAGATAGTTGAACAGGTGTATTGTGGGAAATTTGTGTCCATGTGACTTGTTTTTCTAAACAAATATTTATGGTTATCTTGGGTATTGTTGCCCGAGACACTTTTACCACATACCAACTTTTGTGATCGTAGATTCTTACCCATTACTCTGATTACCAAGTTGTGGACCCATATTACTTTTTTTTCCAATTACAATAAAAAAAAAGTATCCCCATCTTGAAAAATCTGAATCCTTGATCTGAAGACATCTTTATTATTTAGATAATTTGTGTGTGAATATTTTGCGTCTAAGAGGATTATTAAGGACTGTTCTCGACAATGATGGTATTTCACAACAAACACAACTCCCAGAATTTGTCAAACTTAGTTCTTATACAATCTGTACCACCGCGACTTTATACAGACCATAATTGTTACTGGACTTGCCGATTTGGATATTGCAATCCGTTTTAATATAACGTACTCAACCCTCCCTCCGCCCCCACCCTCTCTCTCCGTTTGTGTAAAACCTATGTGTGTGTCTAATATGACACACACACACAAACACAGGTTTTACACAAATGAACAAAAGGTTATTATTAATGAGGAAAGTGCACATACTTATCCAAAATTTCCTTAATTCATGAACATACAAAACATGCACCGATTGTTTCTCTTTCTACCCACGAGAGTGGATAACATTAATAACTAGTATGCTGGATAATTTCAAGATTTTAAGTAGTACTGCAAAAACACGGTAGGGTCAAAGGTTAAACGAATTAACAGTACTTGAAATGAAAGTTATAAATAAGCAAAAAAATAAAAAATTACCAAACATAAAATGCTTAGGAAGTGTGTCACTGTCAGTTAAAAATAAACTAGGTCAATAGTGTATGTTTCCGTGTATTTAGTTCAAGATTAGGAGGACAAGTTAAAATAAAACAAGTTAAAAACGAAAGGGGGTCACCAGTGGCAAACCTCTGATGAAGTCGATATACGTTATGTTACGTCAAAGAAGGTGCCACCACCCTTCGAGGTATCTATTCGCGAAAGTGGGTGACCTAAATCTTTTGGTCACGTGCCACTCAATTGGTTGCTGTACATTTGCTTTCTATCTCACCTATTACGTTGCTATGGCAACCAGACGGGTTTGGAAGTTCACACCAATGCATGGGTGGCTACGTACACTTAGAAAATTCTCGTTTAAAAGAATTTTGTAACCTTACAAGGCATTCTTTTTTTTGCATTTCAGGTAGAGGTTGGTAAATATATATATCGCTCAAGATTATTAATTAAAACATTGGATAGTGAATTAAGCTTTGATTCGTCGGAATTAAATGATCCAAGACACGACAATGAAAACGTGAGAGTGTAGAAATAGGCAAACAACGATTTATAAGCAGAACGAAATTTATTTATTGTTAGGAAACATGCACGTTTCGACAGAACATTGGTCCACCTTCCCACCTGAAAGAGATTGAAAGTAGTGTATTGAGTTCTAAATGGTTATTTGGATACACACCATAAAAACGCTTCTCATGAAAATGTGCACCGTGTGTACAAGTACAGTTTTGTCCTCAAAGACTCAAAGCCTTCTTGAAATAAAGAAAAAACCCCAGTTTGTTTCTCAGCCACTTCCAGGGGGACATTGTCTACTGTTGATTAGTATTGAATAAATGGAGGGGAGTACTAAGTAAAAGATTTGGGCAATAAACGTTATGGTATGGACAGATATAAATGCATTTCTCACCCAGTTTTTTTTTGGGGGGGGGGGGGGAAGAGATTTGTTCGATAGTTTCAAATGCGTGAAATGACAAGATTGTATAATGAAAGCGCTTATTAAGCACTTTCAAACAGTCGAACTTACTTTTTTTAGTCTTCGAATAAAACTAACCAATCAATCGCATTGTTTTAAATTTGAGAGTACTTTCACTTCGATCCACCTGAATAGAAAACACTGTTTACTTTCGCTTTTACTGGTTTCACGTGCAGCAAAGATATGGCATGCTTTGATTGGCCAAAGTACCGGGCCGTTAGTAGGTCACTAGGCCTGCAGGCGCGCGCGCCGCGTGACATAGACCCCACTACTTGTGGAGTGGAGTGTACCTGTATGTTGGGGTAAAGACGAAATTTCTCTCCAGAGCTCTTCTTATCATTCGTATACGAGGTTTGTGTAGTTGGTGAGACACGAAACGCGTTGCTAACTTCAATTGTGTGATGTCTTGTGAAAGATAATCTGCTGGATAATTCTTAATCACGAAATGTCAAAAGTTTCAAAGAAATAAAGGCAAAAAATAAAAATAAAGTAATCGCGCGGACAAGTTTTTTTTTTTAAAATGATGACCGCAGCAAGTGTAATGGACAACTCTGCTTGTTATATAGCAGGAGGGCCATCAGTAGTTCTCAATAACAGTGCACCATCGACACTACCCGCTCCTGTCGCTCCCAGTGGTCAGTTTCCCTATGACCCACCAGATACGAAAGAGGGGATCGAGGAGTTGTGTCCAGTTTGCGGAGACAAGGTTTCTGGTTATCATTACGGCATACTGACCTGCGAGTCTTGCAAAGGATTTTTCAAGAGGACTGTCCAGAACAAGAAAGTGTACACGTGCGTTGCGGACAGAAATTGTCTTATTGACAAAACCCAAAGGAAACGGTGCCCATATTGTAGATTTCAAAAATGCTTAGATGTTGGGATGAAGCTAGAAGGTAAGTAACATGAAATTAACATAAGACTCATTTTATACTACATTTATATATAACATGTCTATCAATATATATGGTTAATTCTGCTCTCTTTGCGCACACAAGTAAATAATTTCAATATTTTAACATTACTTAGAAGATTTCAATCGGGTAGTGGATATTTTTCATACCAATTATTATTATTATTATAATTATTGAATTAATAATCAATCTTGGTTCATGCTTTACACATGAAAAGCAACATTCTTAAGAGAATACAAAATATTGCATCTAGATTGTGTATGTGTGTTTTATATTTCGAATTAAACTTGTACAACCTCTCCATTAAGTTCTGTACAATATTATGTCTTTCCTGGGTAATCAATATTTTTTAATTGTATTTCGTGAAAACCTTTTTTCAAATACAGTTGATACTGTTTCCCAATCAAGCAACAAAGTCATCCACTAAAAGTTCTCGACGTTTAGATCGTACGGGAAAGTATTCTACAAGTAACACATAATACACAAATAGGTTTGTTTTTAGCTATAGACGTGGACTTAAACATAGCTAGACGAGATGGAAAGTTGACCCAGTTTTGATTGCCGACAGATCAAGAATGTAGATTCCGCTGGCACACACACACACACACACACACCCAGAGTGGTTGTTCAGTAGGTCACTGCTAAAATTGCATTAAAACAAAATTTGTACATTCAATTGTAATCACTGTGAAAATCATGGATTGTTGTTTAGGAGTAAAGATATTTTTAAAAATTATGCAGGTATAAAAAAATAGAACTATTCGGCTAAAAGTTTGTTTTTTTAATTTGAAACTTTAGAATCCACCTATCTGTACATCGTTCAGGAGTGTTTAAGTACCCAATATTCTTGAAAGTGATGTCATCGATCATGTTACTTTCCCAGAACAAAAGTAACAACTCTCAAATATATTGTGTATCTCAAGTTTAACCCATGACAAGATAAACCCGTAGAATATTCAACATCACCGTTTTATCATCCACCCATTTCTAAAGAAGACATTTCCTGGTAATCATTCGAATCCTAAAATGCCGAAACACAATCTTAATTCAGCTAATTATTTGAGCATTAACTTCTATTTAATAAAATTTATTACTTCACCTCCGATTACCAGACAATCAATATAGCTAACTGAATACAAGTTTCGTAGTTTTTACATAGAGATTAGCATACATCGTTTCATCAGTTGTGTAACCTTAGTGAATTATTATACATAAAAAAAGAAAGATCGAGTCATCATCCCAATATTAAACGAAGGTCAGTCAGGTTAGGACATTTAGGTTAGTCCTAAATACATTAATATTATCTTTGATTGTTAAGCCTAACATAAAATATAAAAGAAACCAAAATAGGGTAAAAACATTTAGTATACGAACTAGTACAATGAATGTTGTCAGAATATTATCTTTGATTGTTAGGCCTAACATAAAACAAACCAAAATAGGGTAAAACATTTAGTATACGAACTAGTATAATGAATATTGTCAGAATATTATCTTTGATTGTTAGGCCTAACATAAAATATAAAACAAACCAAAATAGGGTAATAACATTTAGTATACGAATTAGTATAATGAATGTTGTCAGAATATTATCTTTGATTTGTTAGGCTTAACATAAAATATAAAACAAACCAAAATAGGGTAAAAACATTTAGTATACGAACTAGTATAATGAATGTTGTCAGAATATTATCTTTGATTTGTTAGGCTTAACATAAAATATAAAACAAACCAAAATAGGGTAAAAACATTTAGTATACGAACTGGTATAATGAATATTGTTAATGAAAGTAACGAACAACATTTATCTTGCTTATGTAAGAAACTAGCTGTCTGCTTGAACTACGGTTTCAGAAAATTGTTTTGAAAACATGAACGTAGTACAACGTGCTAGTTTTCTCCGTTCCTCACTATCGTATCTGTTAACAACAAACAAAAAATTTAATTTTAAAATGTCATATTTCAAGGAGTTTTCCTAAGGTACAACCAAAAGCTAATGTTTAAGATTATTTAAGTAAAATAATACCCGAACTGTTCATGAAACTTAGTATATTTAGCATGTTTTCTTTAACAATGTTAAATATAAATATAATGTAGTGTGTAACAAACTTTACCACTACTTCAAATATAACAAATGTAGGGTTGGCTACAGGAAGTAATAAATTGCGTTAAATCTTGGGTAAAAACCGAAAAGGAGATACGGAAAGCCTCTAGGAAATAAAAATGAACGATTTGTTGTTGAACTTCGAGCATTATGTTCGTTATGAAAGAATTGCAACTAAATTATATAACGGTGATGTCATTATCGTATCTAACTTAAATAATAATTAACAAAAGGTAAAATTAATGATGGTTAATACACTAATTCATTTGGATATTGTTTCAGGCAAGCGTAGACGTGCAAGTTTTTAAAAGGTCGCGATACCCTTAAACTTCCAACCCCATACTCAATTGCAAAAATATTACC